CTTATAACAGGAAAAAAACTCAGACAGAACCAGGCTCAGTGTGAGCGGCCATTTGCTGAGGTCAAGTTGGGGTTCAAGGAGATAGAAGCAGACATACAGAAAGAAGCAGAGTTACAAAGGGCAGGTGTTAAATAGCTTCATAGGCGGCCCCGTCCAGTAAATATTCAGGAAGACGAGCTTCAAGCCAATTCTGCTAGTCACAGTAAAAGAAACAGGATTAGACTAAAAAACAGGCCAAGCTCTAACATCTATAAGCAGAAATGTTGATGGCAGCTGTATAGCTGATAGAATCCAGGAATGAGTCACAGTAGAACAGGACTGGATCAGAAGCTACTATGATAACAGCAGAAAAAGCACAAACCAAGAGGCTTCACTAACAAATGCTGCAGAATGGGAGAATAGAGGTAGAATGAAGCAGAATAAGGAAAAGTTGTCCCTATGTCCTCCAGCAGCCTAAACATATAGCAGCACAAATACAGAAAATAGCTCAGCATAACTGACTATTTCGGATATAAGAGAGCTAGAGCATCAATAGGGCCGAGGCTAAAATGATTCCCCACCAGATCGGGCTGTTAACCCTCAACCTCCACCTACCTCTCTACTCACCCAGCATCTAATCAAACATCTCTCTGTTTCTGACTATAAGCTTTATCAAAAAGGAAAGTTTTAAGCCTAGCCTTAAAAGCAGACAGGGTGTCTGCCTAATGGGCTAAAACTGGTAGTTGGCTTCAAAAGAGAGGAGCCTGCTAACTAAAAGATCTGCCTCCCATTCTAATTTAGAAATGATAGAAACCACTTTGTTACATGATTTAAAAAAACAGTCCTGATCAAAAATAACGGCAAAGTTTTTTATTTTATCATCTGAGATCAATTTAATCCCATCCAAATGAAGTGACTGACTAATGACTTAAACTTAGACAATCTTTATTTTCATTTTGTGTAAACAGAGTGTACAAAATTTCATTTTGTACAGCTTTTAGAATATTTACATTCTATAAAGTGCAGCAGCTTCTTTTTCAAAGACTTTGGTCCAAAGAACTATAACTTTTGTTTTGTCTGCATTCAGAAGCAGGAAGATAAGAGTCATACAGATTTTTTTTCTCCTTAAAAAAAGTTTCTTATAGATTACCGGTAAGCATTTTTCTAGTTTTAATGAGCAAGGATCAAATATTTATCTTAAATTTAGTCCCTTTTATTGACTTTAACATACAGATTCAGACACCTGCGCATACTTTCTTTATTGACAGTTATGGTACCTCATTACGACTGTATTTTCTGTGTTTTCTTCACAAAAAAATGACTAAAAACTGTAGAGTGAAAAAAATAAATGTAAGGAAGCAGTTTTATGATTCCAGGTAATTTTTCTTTTTTTTCTTTTTTACTCATTCGACTGATGTTTGTGACAAAAAATGTTTTACATGTTATTTTTTTTTTTTATACTTAAACAATCCTTATTGTGTTACATAATATTGTTTGTTTTTTATTTTATAAATATATTTTTCATATATATTTAACTAGATTTCTTGGCCTCTATGCAGCTTTTCTTGCCGGTTTTTAAAATTTATTTAACTTTGTGTGTGGGGGGGGGGGGGCGTCAAAGCAATTACCGTGCATCATAGATTTAAGAAGCACTTTTTTTAAACCTATTTTACCCGACAACTCAAAGTTGTCGCTGTATTATAGCAAGTAGAAAGCACTATTGCCAGTTTCTGTCAGTCGTCACCATGAATTTGTTCCTTTTTGGGGAGGATTGGCTTTTATTTTCCATCAATACATTTCAAAGTCCATCATATTTTAGAAACAAGCACAACACTACCAATTTTTGGTTGGTTCAGTTACAATTTCGCTCAATGATTTTTTACTGTTTGTTTTATTTTTCTGGGGGGAGGGGCTTCAAAGGAGGACATTTCTACTACTATTACTATTACTACCACTACAGCTTTTTAGCCAAAATGAGAAGACAATAATTCTGATGTAAAACCGGTTCTGGAAATAGCATTACATTACAAGGATGATTTGTAAATATTGTTTACAAAACTGTGTGTTTATTAGAACCACGTTATTTTTGGAAAACTCTTGTACATATCTGGAAAATTTCCTGTTTGTGTGATAAAAACAAAATTTTTCGTATTTGTACTTATTTTGTAAAGGAATAAATGAGCTGTTTACTAAAATGAGCCATCTTGACTTTGTCTAATGCTTCTCTACATTAAAAGCACAATGGTAAGAATTGGTGCAAAGCGTTAGATCGCTCCTTTCTTCTTCTCTTTTGTTTTCCTGTTTTTGAGCTCATTTTTAATGCAATCAGTTTGTTGTTTTAAGTAAAAGGAACTCAGCTATTCGATGAAGAATCTGCCAGCTCAATCACATGTGCAAGATGCATTCTGTACATTCATTTATTTCTTGGTTATAAACTCCGAAGCTGTCTATTTTCTGCAAATCCCAGCCTGCCTACCAATTTTATTATGTGAACTTTAAGAGATAAAACATTGCACAACTGAAACATGCTCAACAGCCCTGAGAAAGTCAGAAGATGTTGAATTTGCTGCCTCTTGGTGAACTGTCACATCATGTTTGATCCTATTCTAAATCCAGTAAAGTCGGGCATGAGAAAACAGGTTAAGATTATGCTTTAAGACAGCGTAGTTTGGGATATCTGTTTATGGCTAACTCTATTAACCCTGTTTCTATTATCTTCCTTAGAGTGACTGGATGAAGCTTTCTCTCTTTTTTTTTGCCAGCCATAATCTTCCCTGGATTTGATATTATTTCCAAAGAAAAGTTGTTTATATCTAAAAGAGTGGAAGCAAAATGATTCACTGGTTTTCAGCAACTATAAACCTGTAAGTGTAGCATTCCTGTGACCTGCCCCTTTTATTCTGATACCCAAATATGAGATAATTTCCTACACAAGTCACCTAATCAGCAAATAGTCATCATTAGGGATGCACGATATACTGTAATCGGCCCCCTATCGGTATCGGCCTTAAAACTGAATATCGGACATCGGCCACCCCACCGATATTTAACTCGATATTTGATCAGCTTCTGAGTTTCTAAAGTCTAAAAAAAAATAAAAAATACTACTTCTTCTTCTTCCTCAAAAACTTCTTTTTTACACACTTAAAAACTTCTAAAGACGAAGGAAAAAATATTGATACATTAAAATATCCCAATATCTTCATATGCTGATATATTGCCATTTAAAAACACCATATCAATCTCTTTTACTAATGAAATATTGCTATATGTCATCGTTATGCTACGAAATCCCCCGAAAATTCACCAAATGTTGCCATATTTTTATATGTTGATATATTGACGCGGTATCGATCTATTTTACTAACAAAATCTCACAAGAATTTGCAAAATATCACGAGAGTTTGTAACAGAACGATGAAATTTCACCAGATTTTGAAAGTAAAATAGATCGATCCCGCGTTTTTAAAAATCTATTTGATATCAGCATCTGAAAATATATTTGAGTATATTATTTTTCAAAGTGTCAGAAATGGATAACAAAACTGCTATTTTCAATGACTACTTATTTTTGTCCAGCTTTAACATCGGTATCGATATCGGTTATCGGCTACATGAGTTTTAAAATATCGGCATATCGGATATCGGCCAAAATCCCAATATCGTGCATCCCTAGTCATCATTCATCACGTCTGGGATAAATCTGTTGAGATGCTTAAAGAAATTATGCTTTTGACCCAAATATTAGCTTGGTTTAAGATATGTTAAATTAAATACAAAAAAGTAAAAAGAGCACAAAATGTTTTCTCCTAAGACATTGCTAAGCGATGCAGCTCAGGTAAGAAAATCTTTTTACATAATTGCTGTTAATCGTTATTTTTTTTTATGTCTTTCTTCAAGAGCGCCAAGAAAAAAGCTTTTAAAAAGAAGCTTTAAAGGCCCTTTTAAAGTTAGCAAAGTACCCAGTAAGTTATAGGAAAACCTTTGGCTAACACTGCACATCACCCCAAACTCGTCAGCATAGTGACACATGGTGATGGCAGCATCACGACGATTACCTTTCTGTAGCAGGGACAGGGAAGCTGGTCGAACCTGATTGGTTGAGGCAAATACAGGGGAATCCTGTTGTAGGATGCAAATTACTTGAGACAGCAGGATAAAAAAAAAAAATCAACAACCTTTACATACAACCAGAGCTACATTCTTAAATGGCCTAATCAGATACCAGACAGTAAACTCATGAAAATGCCTGAACTTGTGTGTCTCTTCAAAGAAGAGTGTGAATAAAATACTAAGATTTAAATTTGTCAGATAACCCAGAAGACCTGCAGCCTTGTTTCCAACTAAATTTTTGTTCCACTAATATTGAGTTAAACAGGCCTTGTAGGCGTAATGTACACAAAATTACTCAAAATTTATTGTAAACTACAGTATTCTGCGTAGTTTCTTTATAAAAAAGAGTGATGTTTGATTTACCTTTATAAACATTTTAAAAACTCTTCAAGAGGTGGAAATACTTTCCAAGACGTTGCTTACCGCAGCCGTAAAAGATTGCATGAGACCAAATTCATTTATACAGTACATCCTTTTATTATCGCAAATATGCAAGAAAAGTCAAATGGAGACACTGTAAATGAACACATGCCCTTTAATACCACAGTCTAATTGTTTTAAACACTTTAAATAATATACATTTGCACCTTATTATACGCTATGAAATGTTTTTTTGTAATCCATATGTACACAATGTAATTTTCAGGATTTCCTTTGTTCTTTACTGTGAAGATTTGTGATTTCTCAAAAACATAAAGGTCCCATAAAGCCTACGAGTCCTGACAAGTCAATACACAGTAACTGTACAAACCGAGTCGCCTCAGAGGAGGGGGCAAAGCCCAGCGGGCCGGGCAGCCGTGTAGGACTAGTGCTTCATCTGAAGAGCCAACAACAGTAAAGATGTTCAAAGAGTGTTTCAGTCCGGCCAAGTTGGTCCAAATCTGCTGAGATGCTTAACGGTTGGTGTTTTGTTTTTTGTTTTTATCAGTAACTTCTTGCTCCTAAATGGCAATAAGTGTTCCTTTAAGTTGTTTTTTAGAGAAGCATGAATCAGTTTCACTGAAACGACCAAAGTGCATTGAGGTCAGCTGCAGAGTCGGGTTGCTGCCTGGCATGTTTCTGAGAGACTCATCGGTTTGTTGTGGAGAAAATGGCCCGACGAGCACCTTCATCTCAAAAACAAGCAAAAAACAAACAACAAATGTCTTGGTTGACCTTTCCCTTTGAGGCAACTGGATCCATTCAGAGCAAATCAGAACAGAAACGGTCCTTTAGAGAGAAACTTCTGCTCCTGTTTGGACAACAGAGGCCCAAGTTTTATGAAGAACTAAAAAACAAAAAAACAAGCCCAGTTTAAATCAAGTCACTGCCAGCACCCACCAAGATCAGAGTAAGCTGCTTTTCTTCTGTCTAAGCTCCGGCTTTTGTAATGGAAGAAACAGCATGGTTAAGTTATACACAAATGAAAAGCGTGGAAACTCTCTTGCTTTTGTCTTTGATCGAAGACACGCAGAGAATAAGAGCAAAAGAAGAAGAGTAGGACTGAGTAAAATGCCGCTCACTCGTCTCTTAGCCAACAACACACTGATGCTGGCAGCCGAACTTTAACTTCTGCTGTATGTAATGTTTGAAGATTTCTGAAGTAATCCTAACTTAGAAGTGACAATATTCAAACAGATTTCTCAACAGACCTGTCAGGACTTGGAGGATCAAATGTTTACATCCTTCATACAGTTTTAAATTATGCAGCGTGGCTCAAAGAGCATCTTTATGCTTATACAATCAAATGGTTTGGTTCTGTTGGATGCCTAATTTCTAAACCCGACGTCCACCTGAAGGTGAAACAGCTTGGTGTTGTTCGCTGGGGGCCGATGAAGGAGCGGCGCCTGGCCAGCTCTGTGGTAAGAAGAAAAGTTCAAGTGCAAAAAAAAAAAACTGCTCATCAGGACAGCCTGGTCCTCAACTGTTTCACCCTCCGACTCAACTGTTTTTTTTTTTACCTGAATTATAAACCTAAAAGCTGCAAAACAGAAGAAAATCCATTCAAAAGTATTTCCTACCTTAAAGAGATTTCCTCTTTTAACTCTTTTTGGCACACTTAAATTTTTCAGATGAGCAAACTAATTACAAAAATCTGTTTTTAAAACAAAGATTTTAGTCTTATAAAGGGAAATAAATCCATCCTTTTCCATAACTGCAGAGGATTCCCACTCCACGTTTCATGGCAGAAATATTTTCATCCAGCCTCTCTGTAGGTTTTGTGAGTACAAACAACTTGTTGGAAGCAAGCATCTGAGTTGCAACTTATACATATTAAAAATAATAACTCGGGTTATTATTTGTGGTCGGGATTATTAGCCTGCTGAAACATTTACTTTAAGGTTCCAGACATACAGCTGGAAATTTTCCTTCAGGATTTCTGCTTGAGAGAAAAAAAAAACATGGTACCCTCAAGGTGTTTTGCCCATTTTACAACACATGCCTTTTGGTCTCATCATTTCACAGTTTTGCAAATTTAAATGTTTTTTGTAAGAAATGTAACAATGTCAACAATGGATTTCTTCTTCCAAGTTTCCTTTCTGATGTTAAATCTCGAACACTGACCCTAAATGTTTGGCATGTCATGCTTTAGACATTGTGATGTTTTATAACCTGCTAAATGTGTTATTATTTTTCAGCCCAAGAGCTCCTAGGGTTCCCCTCTGTGCCACATTTTTGTCACTTCTGGATGATGATGTTGATTAAGTTTTAAATGGTAAATGCCGCCACATACTCTATGAGAAGCGAGACTTTTTTTTTTTGTTCTTTTGGTGGCAAGAACAAAAAAAAAGTCTTAAAGTGTTCTTACTTCCAGAGCTGAAGATGGACTGAGGGCTGGCAGAGAGCTGAACGTACAGCAGACAGTAATAAGAGCTCAAGGTGTAAGTTTGGAAAGATCGCAAAAACTTGGTGTCAACCTGGACAGATACACGAGGAGTCTCCGCTTTTCCAACCTAAAACCACCCTATTTAAATCCTGTCCAATCACAGCACAGACACCAAGCCAGACGTTATGGAGAACAAGCCGAGTGGCCCATCATGATGCTGCAGAGAACAAAATTCATTCATTTGAGAAAAAAATGTCTCAGCTCTAGTTTCTCAGTGATAATTGTGAAAACATTTCCTATTTGTTCTAACATTTCATCAAATAAGGGCCTGATGTCTTAGAGCTTATCACCTACTTCATATAGTCAGACAGGTCTTCTTATAGCAACAGGTCTGTCTCTAGTCAGGCCAGAGTTTAACAAGTAAAACAACCCAAAAGTTAATAAATCGCCCTTAGTTGTTTGTGTTGGAAACACACAGTGACTCTTTCTTTCCTTCACTCATACTTTTGCTCTGATATTGGAACTTGTTTGATTATCTGAAACAGCAGGTTTGGCCAAAAACAAAAGGGGCACTACATGTTTTGGAGCAAACAAGCAGAAATTCTACAGCTGCTTTCCTTTCTTCTGTGCGCAACACATTTGACTATAAAATTATGGAAACGTCGAGTTTTTTTTTTCTTTCTTCTATCCCTGTTGGAACAATGGGACTTTTTCTGGCTCCGATTTTCATTGCCAGTCATATTGCTTTTGCCACATAGCCTGCAGACATCTGAGTTTCTGCAGCCATTGCCAAGAAACGCTCCCTTTGCAAGCTTTCGAAGCCTAATGAATACAATGTTCGTACATCCTTCATTTTTAGAGACGGGGGGTGGGAAGAGACATTAAAATAATCCTATTAGTAATAATTGTTTACACCATGTCATGATAAAAAACAGCAAAGCGAGGGAAGAAAACGTAGAAACCATTTAACAAACGATGCTGAATCCGCTGAGGTTTGAAAGGGTCATGGGGATTCAGGGCCTCACAAAATGATTATGTCCTTAACTTGACATCCTTGATATCATCCGAAGCTTTCCTGGACCACAGCAGGCCCCTGATCCAACAGAAACAGGCCTGGACAAGAGAGGTGGTTTCCATTCCTCTTCATTGTTTTCTTTGTTTGGGAGAATCAGTCCGTAAATTTGTGCTAAAAAACAGAAAGCTGAAGCACCCGACGGTCCAACAGATTCTTTGGGTATTTTTCAAACAGAACGGAAAAACTTTTGCTGCTTATGCTTTCCTCCTTTGTTTGGTCCTACATTCCCCGTGGAGTTCAGCAGAGCTGGTCAGGTTGAACACCTCTGCTGATATTTATGTTCTTGGAGGGGAGGCTGTGGTCCAGCTGGGGCAGAGAAGGGGAAGGAGGTGAAGATGGAGGCGACGGGAAAAGATGGAGAGTGAGGAGGTGGAGAAGAATAATGAGGAGGGTCCTTCTCACCCCCCCCATAAAAATCTCTAGTCCAGGGGTTCCTGTTTTATCCTGATAGGGGTGTTGATTGAGAGGCTCCGCCGGTCCTCACGACACAACACGTACTCGCTGAACTGGGATGAGTCCACGCCGCCTCCACACGACGCCGCCACACTGAAGCCCTTCTGAAAAAGACGCTCCAGAACCTGCAGAGGAGACACAAGATGATCAAACTGAATTCCAAAAAACTGTTATATTAAATATATAGTTGAATATTAAAGCATTGAAGCCTCAAAATATGTTTGTGTTGATGCTAAGGTCAATCCAAGCTGTTTTTAGATAAGAGTAGATAGCTTAAAGCTAATTCATTCATTTAAAAGTTTCAATTTTTTTGTTTTTTTTAAAACCTGTTTAAATAATTCATTGAATTAGATCAACATTAGAGGATCAACATCACCAAAAAGAAAAGAAAAAAATGACACACATTACCAGTTTGTATTAAAAAAATTAAATATTATCAGTCCTAATTAGAGGTGTTGATAACGGGCTGAACAGGTGCAGGAACATTTTTTGGCAAACCTGGAAAAGATGTGGAACAACCCTGGAGCGAAAAAATTTACTTTTATCCTAACAGCATAAACTGAAAATAAACCCCAAAGTAGGAAAACAGTTTGTTTTGATCATTTTCTTAGATTGTGTGACCTTCGCTTCGCTTCAGACAGGAAACTTTTCAGTTGACAGGCTTTTACTGCAGCATGTATGTCTGAGGAAAAGGCTACATTTTGGGAACTGTTCCTGTATTAGGATCATTATTCTGTCTAAATACCCAAAGATGAGCTGTCATCATTGTTATGAAAGAAGACCAATAGGTTTTTATTTAAAATATTCTGCTGTTTCTACATATTCACGAAGCCCAGTAGCTTTTAAAGAAAAAGGGACCCACAGCATCACAGCTCCTCCACCGTACTTAACAGCAGGAAGGAGGTGGTTTTCATTCATAAATTAAATCAGATTAAAGCAAAAAATATCACCTCTGTACATTTGTGATGGTAGTAATTAAAGGATTGTTTTACATTTCTTTTTGTTTCCGTGAAGCACTTTTTTGTTGTTGTTGTGCTTTAGAGACTGATACTGGTTAATGTCTGCCAGATTTTTGAACAGAAGGCTGCACTTATTTTAGTGAAATAACACAGTAATTGGTAGTAAGGGGTACCTGCAGTAAATGATAAACAAATCAATGAAAAGCTTGTCTTTTCTCTGGTGGAGCAGTAGCTTTCTACCTCTCAGATACTGTATAAACAATCAAGATCAAATTCCCATTTAAAGAATGGACATGAGAGGAGCGCTGCTGTTCAAGTGCTAAACTTCCTGAGATCGCCATCAGTCCCAACATGCAGCATGTGCCACTAAACCTCCTCTCAATCCAATCACAGAAAGTGATAGAAACCAGAGGGCATTCCCAACATCACACCACCTCTGTAATATTCATGCGACTCACGCCGGATCGGCCACCTAGCTGAGGGCACGAGGAGCTCAAAGGGATGTGGAGAGCCTGAGAGTGAGCGGGGTGTGTTAAGGAGCCTGACTGGAGCTCAGCGCGGTGATTACTGGAGCTTCTAATTTGAGTAATGAGGCTGGGGTGAGGGAAGGAGTGAGGTCCACGAGCAAGAGAGGCAAAGGCAACGACGTGCGGCGAATGACGATAAGGAGCTAGATGTGGCTGATCGGTGCGAGGACAAAGTGTGGGAGCTGCAGGGGAAGAGCAGGAGATGGGGATGCATGTCAGCCCTCTAGTATGGACCCTGACATGCATACACACACCGCCATACATAGGAGTCATCTCGTCCTCTGCTCTAATCAGTGTGGGAAGTAGATTAGCATTTATTCTTTTTATTTTTTAAGGTTGTTTTCTTAAAAGTTGCACAAGCTGAGGCGTTACTAGTGGTGAAGGGAATCCTCTGTAATTACAGGCAACGGTCCACAGCTTCACGCAGAAATCAGACCAACAGAAACTTGTAGAGCAGTTTAAAGCTCCCCCCATTAAAGCTTCATGTAAATCTTTATCAAAACTGAAATGCAGATCGATGTGCAGCTTGTAAGTCAAACGGACCACTCTGAAGAGCCCGCCCCCTCCCCCATGTTCATCCTCTGGCCATCTGACGGTGACAAACTCAGTAATTTGTGAGACAGAAAGGGCGGCAGACAGCTGATGGTGAGGACGGCTAATTAAGAGACCTGCCCAAGCATCAAACACTCCAGAATCCATGACAGGCGACGGAGGAGCCTAACGATTATGGAAATGATATTACATCGCCTTCTTTGATCATTGCATCACATTGCATTTCCCCCCCCCCATCATCTCTTAACACATGTGGGACTCCGTGGTGTTTGGCAGTGAAATTTGGTCACAGAGGAGAAAGGCCTGATCAATAAAGATAGTCTGAAAACACTTTTATGATTAACGCACCGCAGCACAAAAGACTTAAGGATATTATTACAGATGGTTGTAACTGATTCAAGGATACTGTAATGACTCTAAGACGGCATAAAAAAAGTTCACGTTCAGTTTTGTCACAGTGAATTAGTGCCATGGGGGGATAAACAATACACAGAGTAATTAGGCTGTATCCAAACTGAGGCTTCCAATGTCCACAGGACAATGTCCTGAAATCAATCCCTGCTGACAAGAGAAAGAAATGCTCCACGTTAAAAAGCACAAACATGCCTGTCTGCTACGTTCTTGTGCTACGTTCTTGTGACCGCAGGCCTTCACATCCCAGCTTAGTTGTACTTATGCAGATTTCCCTGCTTACTTTCCTTGCTCGTTTGTAACACAACAAAGAGGTCTGACTGTTAGCTCTGCAGCAGCAATCTGATTGGATGAAGAAGATGATGTTCATGATATGGAATTATAGATCCTTAGCAGCTTCCCCCACTGTGAACTCCACATTATGCTGCCATGATCACTGTTTGCAGTGGCATGAAAACTTTTTCCCGTTTTTTCAGACGGCAACAGCAAGCAGTTACAAAAAACTGATGTTCCTCAGCTGCGTTCTTGTTGCTCCTTTTATAAACAAAATTCACTCAAAGTGTTTTAACCATTTATGCAATTAATACATAATCTTAAGACTAGCTTTCACACTGGATTGATTAAGGGAAAAGTTTCTGTAGATGTTTATAGTTAGGCTAGATTAAAAAACAATACCAAAAACATTCCTCTTCCACACATATCATCAGTGAATGTACCATAATGAAACTATTTGGCCAAAAAAAAAAGAAAATTCAGGATTAAATTTATCTCCACGATAAACATTTTTATTTATGTCTACATTATCAATTAGAATTAACGATGTTTAAAAATGGGATGAATTGTCAGGAGTTTTATGTCTTTTCTTTCTTTGCTTTTTTCCTTCAGTGGAGCGACTAATTCAAAGAATATGATTACATACAGTTATAATCTAGGATGTTTAACGATAAAAATCACACTTCTTTGTCTATCTTGTGCCCTGAAAAAAGCTCATTTTAAATAGTTTTATTTTTTAAGAGCAGCATCAGTGATTGTGGGGCTATGATACAGTCAATTTATAAAGACAGCAAAGAAGCATTGAAGGGTTTTTCAACATAGAACCACAAAATATCCTGATAAGGTTTTTAGTTCATATCACCTAGCTGTAATTTCTGGTAAAAAAGAAGAAAAAAAAACAGCATCGCAAATTGAAATAAAGTAAATCACTAATGCAACAGGGAGACATGGTGGTGGCACTATCATGATGTGGGATTACCGTCTGTTATGAGTGACAGGGAAGCGAGTCAGAGCTGACATTAAGAACGATGGAGCTAAAAGCCTGTTACATGCTGCAAGTGACTGCATGAAGCAGAGGTGTATCTTTTAAAAGACATAGATCTATAGGTTTAGATCAAAGCTATGTTCTGGGATGAGCAACAAAGTTTAACTTTAGTGAGAGTGGATCTACAGAACCGAGGAAGCTGCATTTTTATCTGTCAGCCCCAGGGCACAAACCTTAAAACGCTATTTTATTCCAACTACATCATGTTTGAATATAACTTAAAATCTCAGTAAAGTTTATTGATCTAGAGTGGAGAAAAGGGGAGAAGTTAAACTGGTCCAACAGATATGAACCACTGTTGATGCAAGAGTGCAGACGATGCAACCGAAGTAAACTCTAAATCCATGTTCGACTTCATTACTTCTGTCTGTTCTTTTCCCGCCGGTGAGACTGAAGCTGATTAAAAGCGTCTCCTCGCCCTCTCCATCCCCAGTGATCTGCAAACACGGCTCCTCCAAACAAACGCCAACCGTTCCATATTTAACCAAGTGAACGTGCTGCCACTCAGCCCGAGGTAGCCGCTGTTGTGAGGAGGGAAAAGCACCGGCCCCACTTCTCTACCCTCCCATAAAGGGAGTAAAGAGGCTGAAGCAGGAATCAAAGTGGAGAAGTTTTAGGGCAGGAAAATGGGAACGCCATGCAATATTGATGGCCGCCGGAGCATAGAGAAGCACCTCTGAGGAGGAGCTGCTCCTCATGGTGCAGGATTCAGAGCTGATTGACACGTGTGACACGGGCAGGCTGAAGCTTTCGACGGGTGCTGCACTCGAGAGGGGGGGCACTTTTGTTTAACAATGCAAAAGCTTGACTGGGAGCGGTAGCTGCAGCCTAAGCATGTCATCAAGCAGAGAAGCTCCAGCTCTGCGTAAATCACCAGCGATAGAGACACTTCGACTGCGGACTGGTTTTTATGCAGAGCTGGGAGCAGATGAGCTGGGTTTACCAAAGAAAGCCAACATATAGGACGTCTACAAACACAATGAATCTGGAAATGTGAAGAGCCACCCAGAGAGACTGAGAGAATAAGAGCTTAAAGTTCCAATTCAACAATCAATGGTTTCCCTTCCCTCTATCATAACTTTGCTGTCACTGCTTTCATTCTTTATAGAACTAGACTAACAGAAAAACTACAAAAAGAACTGCTTTTCCTTCTGTCCAACTTCAGATTAGAGTTTGAAACTACAATAAACTGTTAAAACTATGGCCTCTGCAATAATACATCAACAGGAACGAAGCAGTGTGATTCTGTAATTCTTGTTCAGTCTTTCGTTTCCATTAAGATCAAAAATGACTTCACAGGACTTTTCATAAAAATGTGTAAAAGAACAGATTCTCACAGTAGAATCGACATCATTTCA